GAATCCTTTTGAAGAGGGAGGGGAAGGAATGATCCAGGAGTCAAGCCCGACGAAGGCAAATGCGAGACGAGACTCGTTGATAGTCGATGGCGGACCAATGACGTGATCAAGGACAAAGCAAGTGAAATAAGCGATGGGATTGCTCGTTCAAGAAACCACTGATGGAACCATGTTCGGGATTCAAAATGGAGCAACTTTCATGTTCGGGTTGAAGGTCGAATCAACTTGGATCAATTTATTATCAAGCGACGAAACCGAAGGCTGGACCGCACAGGCAAAACACCATGCGGCCGCACAGTGGCATACCGAAACTAAAATTGGGATTTTGTTGAACCATACAACCGCATGGAAATACACCATGCGGCCGCACAAACCAAAAATTTGGCGAATTTTCTAATTTTGGCAATTTTCCATATTTTGTTAGATTTTGATTATTTTCCATATTTTGGAGATTATGCTCGACTTTTGCACGATTTTTACCTAATTTTTAGGTTTAGTATAAATAGGTTTTCCATTCAATTGTTAAAAAAACCTTTTGACATTATTGATATTGAATTAAAGTGAGGCGTATTGTCTTCTCTTCATCGTTCTTCATTGAACAATTCGAACTTATCAAGTGTTAACTTGTGGCGTTCAAACAACCGGATTTAATTCTTGGATTGCATGATCAAGGGGTCTTTCAAGCGTCATTCTTGTTGGTTTTTTTTGTTCGACTTTCTTTTGGGTTAATCCTTAACTTTGGATTAATTTGGCTTTCTTGGGTTCGTCAATCTCGTTGTGGGTTTTGTAGTCAACGTTGCTACGGGGTTCGCATCAGTGTCGAAAAGTATTTATTAGAAGAAGATTTTCATTATTAGGTTAAAGCACATTTTACTGGGATATGTTAAAGTATCATGACTACGAATAATGTGAAATCTCTAAATAGTTTGTTGAAAAATGCTCTGAATTTTCCATAGTTGGTTTAATTGAAGATATTTGAGAGACACTACAAAGGCAGTTTTATGAAAAACATGTTGAAGCGAAAAAATGTGTGACCTACCTCATGCCCCCTTTAGAGAAAAAGATGTGCATGAAAAATAATGAATCAAATGGGTGGAGATAAATCAAGTATTTCCAAAAATTTATCAGGTTGGTGACATTTTAGAACACCACTTTGTGGACTTCAACGAAATGACTTGTCATGTAGGAAATTTGATTTGGGCAATGACCATATGCGAATGCAATTGCTACCGTCAAGTTTAAAGGAGATGGTGGTTATAACCTATGTAGCCACTTTTATACTAATATTTGTCGGAAACAAGCGTATTCTACATTCGTATATCATTTGCCAAATGAGGTCAAATGGCGAATTCTCAAGAATGTGATGGCTAAAGAAGTACTTTTACCATTGGCATGAAGTCGGGTGGATGACTGTCAAAAAAGAGGAAACGAATAGCTGAAGAGACGCGTACGCCTCGTAAATGCAATAGGTACAAGAAAACTGGTCATGTTCGATCCACTTGCACAAGTCAACCAGCTAGCACTAAAATTTAAGGTTGTAATATTATCCTAACTTGTAACTTTATAATTTTGTATTTATTCGAATTACAAGATGATTTATTAAAATGTTTATGTACAATTGAAATGACATTAAAATCATTTTATGTTTTAGTGTTTATTTTTTCCCACATTAATTGCAAACGACTTTCATATAGTTACAGTTGACGTAAATGCACTCAATCTAATGAGGATATACATTTTCTTCCTTCCGAAACAAAGTGTTTAATATCATAGGAGTACGAAGATGCATTGATTCTAATTACAACATTGAAGTCGTTATTGAAGCACAAAACGATATAAATGTCATTCCAATACAAAAAAGTAGAGTAAATAATGTAACTATATTGAAATCATTCTTGTAATAAAAAATGATCTCTGTATCGTTTCAGTATGAAATACACACTACTTTAACTTATTTTGGTAGCGAACTAGAAGTCGTTATGGTTATACATAACAACATATAAATCATTCTAGAACAAAAATGCACTCATTCTAAGAATGACATTGAAGTCGTCCCTGAAACTCAAAATGATATAGATGTCCTTCCAATAAAAAAAGAGCACTGAACAACGTAATGATAATGAAATCATTCCTGTAGCAAAAAACTATTTCTACATCATTCCAATGTAAAATACACATCGTTTAACTTATTTCAGTAACGACATAGGCGTCGTTCTTCAAATCGGGCGCACACCCAGCATACACTAAGGTGCTCACCCACTATAATTGGTTATTCTTGGTACCTCTAATTAGCTGCCCAAGCGCGCACCAACTTTGCAGACTTAGGCGCGAGCCTAGATAACTTTTATGTTCTTTTCAATTGAGTCATCCAAGTCATTGCATCTTAGGTCCTTCATCGACATAGATGTCGTTTCTTGTCATATCAAACGACAATCATGCTGTTGTAGTGTCAAATCCATGAAATAAGCAACGATATTCAAATCGTTCTAGTACAAATTTGATGGGTTTGAACTTGTTTCGGTAAAAATCTACACTAAAACGACATATTTGTCGTTTCTTCTCATATCAAACGACAATAATGTCGTTGTAGTGTCAAACTCATGAAATAACGTAACAATATTAATGTCGTTTTGGTTATTATTTGAACAATAACTCGTTCGAACTCGTAAGTTTCGTAATGAAACGATATAGATTACAATATTTCGTGAGTTTGACGCAACGATGATATCATTATCATTATACATGAAAAGAAATGACATCTGTATCGTTGTAGTTATGATTTTAACTGAAACGTTATGCATATCGTTACGTTATTTCACGGGTTTAACACTACAATGATATTATTGTCGTTTGATATGAGAGGAACGACATGTATGTCGTTCTAGTGAAGATTTTAACTAAAATGAGCTCGAACTCGTCATATTTGTACTAGAACGATATGAATGTCGTTACTTTATTTTGTGGGTTTAACACGACAACTACTTTATTATCATTTGATATGAGAAAAAACGACAAATATGTCGTTCTAGTTAAGATTTTTAATGAAAAGAGTTCGAACTCCTCATATATATACTAGAACGATATGAATATCGTTATGTTATTTTGTGGGTTTGACACTACAACGACATTATTGTCATTCAATATGAGAATAAACGACAAATACATCGTTCTAGTTAAAATTTTTGCTGAAATGAAGTCGAACTCGTCAAATTTGTACTAGAATGTTATGGATGTTGTTACGTTATGTAATGTGTTTAGAGATTGCAACAACATCATTATCATTTTGTAGAAAAGAAACGACATCTATGTCATCTAAGAACCTAAGATACAATGACTTTGATGACTCTATTGAAGAGAACGTGAAAGTCATTCAGGCTCGCGCCTAAGCCTACAAAATTGGAACACATTTGGACAGCTACTAAGAGATACTAAGAATAGCAAATTACAATTGGCGCGCGCCTTAGCTTATGCTGGGCGAGCTCCCGATTTGAAGAATGACTTCTATGTCGTCATGTAGAGTCATAACAACTTCTATGTCGTTACAGAAATAAGTTAAGCAGTGTGTATTTTATACTGAAACGATATCTAAATCGTTTTTTGCTACAGGAACAATTTCAATGTCATTACATTGTGCAATGTACTTCTTTTATTGGAACGACATCTATATCGTTTTGAGTTTCAGGAACGACCTCAATGTCATCTTAGAATGAGTACATTTTTGTACTAGAACGACATTAAATCCTTTATGTATCACAGGAACGACGAGTATATCGTTACATGAATATGCATAATATCACAACCTAACATGTATAATGTGTAGACTTGAAAGTAATGGAAGGCTATGAAAAATATTTACATTGAAATTATATTCATTATCCATGATCATTACACTTTAAAATGCACTAACTAATAGTTAGACAACATCATAAAAATATCGATATCATGAAAATAGCAACTACTCTAGCAAAAAGAAAAAAATAACTGTACAATTTTGCCAAGACATCATAATATAGCAAAACATAATCTACGGCTCGAAGTCCTAAGCCAACAACTATGCAGCTATTTCTTTCGCCATAGTAGTATGTAATCCGATCGAATTGCATGTACATCCATATTCACTTGCAAAAATTCTATATATTTTATAGCAAATACCCCGCAATCAGATTTACAAAAAAATTGTGTAGTTATTGTATTAATTTTCAACAGTTAATATTATAAAGTATTACCAATTACAAAATCAGTCAATCTTACCCATTTATTTGTTGGGGAACATATTTGACATTCACGAATTTGAACTTCTCTATGTTATATTTGTCTTCACTCGTGATAAGAGATTTTATCAACAACGGAATAACCACCTATGAGGCACAAAGTATACTTCCAACGCTACCCTACGAATGTGACCCTTTAAACTATAGAACGTATAAATTGTTCGTTCCTCCAAGTTGATTTGAACTATGAACCAATGGTTGTGGGTCCAGCAAAGAATATACAAATATCTGTAGTCCTTCCAAGGTTTTTCGAGCTCTGAAATAGCCCCTTTCACATAATTGATCAAACTCTTACTAAAATTGAACTCTTTACTAGGTTGCTACTAGCCATGTGCATTGACAACATATTGATAAAGTAAGTATCCAATATGCAACAATCTTGTCAAGATAGGTTGGAAAATTTGGAAGCCCTTCCTCATATCTGGTATAGGGCCTCGCTCATAATCTGCGAAGATAAACTAATTAATACAAACTGAAATCTTGTATAACATTATTGCAAAATTATTAAAGTTGGATAACTTACATTGCCAGTAATCCAACCATCTTCATTCAAAAGGTTCATCAATTTTTTTGTTTGAGCATCATAAAAGCACAAAGGTATAACTTCACTACGCATACAACAAAATTAATACAAAGTTATAGTTATATAATAATATCGTTACTTTAACACGTACTTGCAATTATATGTAATAATATACCCAAAAGATGCAGTTTTCATCCATTTGTAAAGAGCCTCAACCTTCATGGGGCCCACTTCTCGATAAGGATCATATAGATTGATATCCGACAACTTTCTCCTCTTTGTCAAGTCCGTAAAGGGAAAACACAATATACGTGCTTTTCTCTTTGGAAGATACCCTCGTCCTTTCGATGAATCACATTCTACCTCTTTGATTTGTACAATGTCACCTATACGTTCGGAGTACCGACAATTAGAAATCTATTTTTTTTTTTTTCATTTAGATGTAATAACATGAAACTGAACTTCAAATTATTTTTTACATACCTTAATCGAATTTCTTCGCATCCACTTCATGTTTCTCAGGCGTCACAAAATCAGCGATACCTTTCTCCATGTCATGATGCTCCTCCTAAACTATTGTTTCTTTTCCAACATCATCTTCGATCATTTTTTTTTCTTTTTCTTACTCTTCCATATCATTCTCAGATCCAATCTCAGGTTCCTTCTCTCCTCCATTCTTTCCTCTGACCTTCTCTTCGTGGTTAGGGTCCTCCGAGGCTCTTCTACCTTTCTTTCATCTGTAGACACGTCATCAAATCTAGCCTTCTTTTCCAACCCACCCTTCAATTCAGTTCTGGTACATAAGCTATGCTACTAACGGCACCATTAAATGCATTAGTCGCTGAATGGAATCGACCCACCATAACCAATATTACTAACCTGTCAACCATTTTCTCCACCCGATCAAGTCGAGTTGATATGACTGCTTGTCACCTTCCCTCAAGTTTTTCATTTCTATTCTAAATAAATCTACTATGTTCATCTCATGAGAAAATGGTGGTGGTTGAGATGCTCTAGAAGAGTGTTGGTGGAATGCATGATATGGCTCGACATCATGTTTAGCATTGTCTCTTTTGAAATAGCGTGAAGCACTCTCATCTTCTTCAACGATCAGTTTCAACTCTTTCCAATAGGTCTCCTCAAGTTCGGCTTCGGTGGGAATCAATGTAAAATTAACCTCCAACTGCAAATATTAAATCGTGCAAATCATTAGTCATTCACTAAGCTAATTCCACAATTTGTTCCCATTAAACTTAAAAAAGATAATTTTACCTCATTTGACTTCAACATGTTATCAATGGCAGTAGAAGCTAACATTTTCGGCATTTTTCAACTGACCATTCTTGGAATTACATCTGGATATTTCGTAGCGAACTTCATTTCCAAAGTTAGATTTGTTTCGAATGCCCAAATCTATTACAAAACAAACATTATTATCTCAAGACACAAATTGATATATAAAAGAATAATACAAGTCAATTGTATTGTTTGTTCATACCATTATAGCAACAGAAAGTCATGCAATGAATACCAACAACGTGACTCTCATTCGATATCCAAACTTTTCAATTTACCTCCCGTTTCACGTTTGAATTTATTGATCGTGTATTTAAAAGAAAATTTTCCCCATGGATACATCTCGAACCTGTCGAGATCATCCCCAAGTCTAGCCACCATAAATCGATATTGGTATTTTCCTCCGTGGCCCACAGGACGTATGCCAAGATACAATCAATCCCAACTTATACTTGTCACTCTTTCTTTTCTTGCAACTTACAAATGCATTGTAAGCATCTCCCTTCGTAATCTTCTCACCACTTTTCTTAAAATACTCTTTCACAATCTGACGCTCTGCCCCCCAAGGTTTTATCCACGTTGTTATCATCACCCGCATTTAAACCCGTAACTAAAACAAATTCTTCCAACCGAAATTTTGCTCGTTTCTCTCCTATTTTAAACTAAACTTCTTTGTTGTTGGTCTTTATCTTTCACAATAATAATTGATATATAACTTGCGAAGCCAACCTTATATCCTTCAACTTAAGGAGACATCCAAAGTAGATCTTACTAAGCTTGTTTTTGTAATTTATATCGAGCTTCTCATAAACATCTTGCACTATTTGCAATCTGCATCTTGTTGTAATTGTAGCGTCAACTCGAAAAATCTTCTCCATAGCACTACAAATTATAAAATATGTACAAATATTAGAACTGATGGTAGTAAAGCACATAATAACAAATATTAAAACTAGAAATATTAAAACATGTTACCTAGTTCTTCTAGTTTTTCTGTAGTAGAAGAAATGTTGCAGAATATGAAATTTAATAGTAGGTATTATCATTGCTAACAAGAAAGTATATTTTATTTGATATTCACTTATTAGTTGTTCTTAACTGAAGTGCTTTAGAGAACTTGTGTGTACAATTTACTATAAATTGTGCACGCGGTAGCTTCACAGTTAAATGTCTTCACCTTAGTATAGTAATTTGCTCATAAATTCAGCATTTTTCATTTTCTAAATCATTTAAACCTAACATAAAAAGTCATTTTTTTTATTTTAAACATTTGGTAAACTTTGTAGAAATTATTCGATCTTTCGTGGAAAAAATAAAAGAACTCAATGCATTTTGAAAGAGAATTAGAAGAGATGGCTTTAGACTTGAAGGAGAAGAGTTAAATGTCAAAGGAATAATCCATAACCCAAACAAGAATAAAAAACCAAAGAATGATGGAAACAAAAGAATCATTAATCCAAAACTCGTAAAAGAGTTCATGGACGATGCTGTTAAAGAATGATCTGTTCTACAAGCAAGGGCTGGAAACAAATCAAACTTTGAATTATCAAGACAAAATTGAAATTGAGAAGCTCAAACTTTTCATATGCAAGAAAGAAATAGTTAGCTTTAGGGCAAATCACATATATCAAAAAAGAAATAAAAGCAGCTTTATTAAAAGGCAATAAATATTCAAAAATACTAATTTTAGCAAAATTTACGAAATTTACTTACTTATAGACAGATTCTCTATTGTATGGATGAAAACTAGACTTTTGCCAAAAAAATGTAACATAGGATGAAAAATCAAATTTAATGAAGCACATAAACAACCAAAAGAAGAAATGTAGCAAAATGAAATACGTCTTGCAAAAGTTCACCTTAAATAGATATGGAAAAGGGTGTTGAAGGCAGTGGCGGCGACGATTCAATGGTTGCAAAAAATTTACAGCCTTTTAACCCTTTTTCTCCTTCTGACACTCGTAACGCCGCCTTCAAATCCACAGGTAATTCATTTCCTTTATTTTTGCTATGTCTATAGCAAAATGTGATTTTGCTTTTTGGTGTCAACCTAGGTGGGAATGGGATGGCCGCAAGCGGTGGGTTTCCTTTGAAGGGGAAGAGGTGGGAAAGGTTTTCACGTGTAAGTTGAAATGAAAACAAAGAAAATCCCCAATTCTTCTTCTTCAATTCCATTTTACAATATAAGGGTAAAAGGATTCTTTTGATAGTTTTAAATAATTAAAATTTCTTTTGTTTTTCCAATTCCGATCAAAGGCCTTCTAAACAAATTTTTTTGAGTGGTGGCCATTCCAATTCAGTTCCCAATCTTTTTGTTTTATTTAGATACAATGGTATATTCATCTTTTCACAATATTTTATTGAGAAATTGAATGAAAATGATAATTTTTACAATGAGATGTTAAAATAGAGATAAAAATACAAAAATAATAATAATAATAATAATAATAATAATAAATAAAAATGCAACTTTGAGATGTTTTGTAGAGTGAACTCTCCATTCAGAATTTCTGAACATAAACAGATACATTTCCCAAAATACCCTCATTCAAAGAAATGGATAAATCTTCCCTCAGCTAAAATACCCGACGCTGGAGAAAGAATCCTGTAATGTCACACCTTCTAATCCACAATCCAATAATCGCAAAATCATGTTCAAATTCAACCTCCAAAAGATCTACACCGACTATTTCCCCATTCGCGTTTACACCTGTCCTGCACCGGCCGCAGCGTATTATTGTCCCAAACACATGCAATGGGAAGAACAGTGTAATCAAATGTATGGCGAACCCTAGGAGGGTGAAAATGGTGGCGAAGCAAATTAGGAGAGAGCTTTCTGATATGTTACTCACTGATAAGGTTTTGCAATATGCATTTTTGACCGAAGCTGCTTTGGGCGCGGATAGATATCTGTCGTCGCTTACTACTATCGCTGATGTTGAAGTTTCTGCGGATTTGCAGGTTAGATTTGTAATATGAAATTTTTTAGATGCTAATTTTAGTTATGTCTTTGATTATTAGCTAGCTTGCACGGAAACCGGGAAGACCATACCGTGGAAAATTGGTTTTTTGAGTTCTGGAAATGTTTCCTGGAGCTTTCGATAAGTTTTGGTTCCCGAAACATGGCCAGAAAGGAAATGCTAACATTTTAGAAGTTGCGTGCAACCTAGATTATTAGTACTATCGTGTGGTTAGGTTTTGATACATTTATGTTAATATTTAGAAGGCTTCGGTGATTTTGTTGCCATTTGTAGAATTATGGAGGCAAATGATTGAATGTTCGATTGCAGAAGACTTGGCTTTGAGGGAGACGAGTTGAGTTCTAAGTATTTTATTAGAAGTGTAGTGTAGTGTAGTGTAGTGTAGTGTAGAAAATAAAAGTCATTTCCAACATATTTCTAGTAATCTACCATCTCACTGATATGTATTATATTGAATACATAGTATTATGTTCTTATATTAACGGTAAATTCTTAATCTGGAGGCGAAGGGAATCTAACTCTTCTAATAGTGAGTGTGTTAGGCAAGAGGCCTATGAAGTGCTTTTACTATAAGGTCTTTGGTCCGTGAGATATTTATGATACTACATGAGGTGATTAAGAGCATGTATGGGAAGTGTTTATAAATGGTTTAAATTATAAATAGATAAATATGACTAGTGGATAAGCAAGTGGCAATTGTGAATCCTTTGAAATGTATTGATAAAAGGTGACTTGATGTTCATATGCAGATGATAAACATGAGGGAAACATAGGCTAAGTGGGAAAGAAGTACTTGCATGCTAAAGGCACTTCCAATATCAGAATCTTCATAGCAAGATATATTGTTTTTAAGATGTAATTTTCATTGTCCTGGAATAGATCAAATATTATTTGGATCTTACGTGGGAAAAAATTTGTGTGGGAATTGAAGACAAAATTCTGATTCTAAGGCATGAATAATGCACTATCCTCAAGGTTTTACCTTATCCCACTCAGAGGTTGATGATTGTTTAAAGGCAAATAATACTGATCATTCAAAAAAAATCACCAGAAATATATAGGCTCTCTTGTGTATGCTCTGTCACGAATTTGGATATCTCAGCGTCAATGAAAAGTGGGAAGATGGAGAATTTGATGTGTCCCAAACTGCGGCAGAACCTTTTTATAATACCCGATGTGTAACTACTTTAAGTCATCTGCCTGTTAAAGCAAATTTGAATTTAAACAAATTATTATATTAAACCCCGTTTCAAGAGAAGTATCTATTTCAAATATAACAGGAATAAAGAAGTATCTATCTTCAGTATTCAAGAGAAGAATAGTGAAGTAGGTACAATATTTGACATCAAAGTAAAGAAACATAGCGTACATTGTGGCTGGCATTATAATATATGGCACACTAAGAGCACAAAACACGTTGCGTTGTGGGATGTGCATGTGCATTTTATCAAATTTATGTTTGCAATACTTTTTGTTTACATATGCGAGTGACAATATAATTCTTTTATTTTGTTTTGAATTTACCTTTTTTTTACGTATGCTGTCAATGATGACCATCTTATAGGAGTTAAATGTAATTTTTTACCATAAGTTTTAAGTTGACACTCTTCAACATCATAATTGAAGGGTTTTGCCAGTCTCAGGACACATCAAAATATCCACCTGTCCATCTTTCTTCTTCATATGGAAATATCCAAATGCACATTCATTGAGATTGTGTCAAGTGATCTCTTGATTTCCTGGCAATATTCTAGTAATTTTATTGTTTTCCTGGGATGATTTTCCTTCAATAATCCATGGGCAAGTTCTCTAAAAGTAGGGATTTCGTGCCTTGAAATCAAAATTTATTTCCGATTCCTTTCCCACACATTGTCAACATAATGTCTTTTCATTTCATTGGAGATATCAAGGGATTAGCACTGTAGTGTCCCTGTAAGAAGGTTCTTTATGCCTTACATATATATATATGAAATTGAAGGGAAGTTGCATAGAATAGAACTTCTTTATGTTGTTGTAGTATTTGTATCAAAATTCATTCATCTTTTTGTCATTGCCCTTTGTAGGTTGTGAAAGTATATGTATCTGTTTTTGGCGATGAAAGAGGGAAAGAAGTAGCAATGGCTGGGTTGAAGTCAAAAACAAAATATGTTCGGAGTTTGCTGGGGAAACGTATGAAATTGCGGCTCACTCCTGAGATTCGTTTCATAGAAGATGATTCTCTAGAACGAGGAAGCAGGGTCAGAATTTATCTAAAGTTACTTTCATGTTTCATATGCTATACTTCTCTTGGTGCCACTGTGTTACTTAAAGCAGCTTTATCTTGCAATTCCTTTCATGGTCTTTCTTCAAATTTAACTTCTCTCCTCTGGTTACACAATTTGAATGATCTACATTTGTCTTGATTTAACTGGCTAAATTACATTTCTTATTGGGCTTTAAGAGTGAGAAATTGTGCTGACACAATATTATATGATCAGGGTTCTTCATTAATCTATTTTTAAAATGACAGCATGTTGATGCCCATAGCTAAGACTGGCTGCAAAGGCATTTTGCATTTCTGTACAAATGAGTTTTCTTCTTTTATCAAATGGGTTCTGACAATAATTTACACTTCTCTGGCATGATTCTGAAAGATCTCTGAAGCTGGTACTAGGTTATGTGCAAAATCTGAAGTGCTTTTTGTGTCCTCAGAGTATTGAATGAAGAAAAGATCCGTATCAAGTCAGATCTACTTCTATTACATTTTAGATTATAGATTTTGTTAAGGGACGTGGAGGTGGAGGTGAATATATCACTAAGATACAGGGGTGGAGCTAGAAGAAAATAATTTTGGGGGCTAATTTCATAAAATTTTAATTGTGAGGGTAAATTTTGAAAATTATAAGGACTGTTTTGAATCTCTTGAAAAAAACCTTGGGCAAAATAATAACATATTTGAGATTTATTGTGGGGCACTGCCCCCATTGTGAATCCGCCCCTGCTATGATATCTACAGAGTCATCAGCAACTATGATCAAAGTACTAACAGTTTGATTGTTGTATACGTTTGACATTATCTGTTTCTAGAAACCTATAGAGACTTTATCTTCAAAAATTCATCAGTTTTTGCTTCGCCCTCATATCTTTCCCGTGCTTTGATTTTTAGTTTTTCATATTTTCTCAGATGTTATACTGTCTTGTCAATATCTGAAATACAAACTTACACTCAATGTGTCCACTGTGATTGCTAGATTTTCCAAGAAAACTAGAGACTGCTAACCGTTATTGTTTATCATTTTTGTTGCTCCATCATCCTCTCTTTTCCTTGTTTTGAAATTTTGAATTTCTCATACTTGAGCAGATTCACGTATTGTCTCATTCATGAAGTTCATATTTTTCTCCGTTTGTTGTAAAAGCAAATTTTCATTTGCAATATCTCATGTTTTATTTCGGTGTTCCTGGCAAATATAATTAAGCCTCCGTTTGGAAAGAATTTATAAATGGTTTAAATTATAATAGAATTAGAAATTATTGGTGGACAAGTAGATTATATTAATGGATCCATTGGAATGTGTGGTTCAAAAATGAAGTTTGACAAATATATAGACTTGCCAAATGGAGGCTAAGAAGTTTTATGCTGTTATATTGACGATCACTAACTTAGGCAGTTTACATTTATTCAAGCTTTCTCTTCTCTCTCTATCTGCTACACCCACGTACAGTTTCCAGGTGCTTTGAGATTGTCTCTTACTTTGGATTCTGAAAATATCGATGGACTTAATCTCAACCTTGCCTACCTAATACATGTTCTTACTCGTCATCCTTCTCTCCAAGAACCAAAGATTTTGCAAGCTGATTGACATCACACTTTGCTTGATTAACCCATGTGGCTTGTAAATAAACTTCTGCAACCGTCGAAATAATCTTGCACCGAGAATTTACTTGTAACTGTATTTTGAAAAAGCCAACACCTTGGGAAATTTTTATTTAATTAGCTTCTTGTGTAGCATCCAAATTAAATCAGAATCTAGGGGAACGTTTCTTTTCCTTCACTATATGCAGGCCCTGTTTTCTCATATTAACTATATAATAACATACCTTCTCAGGTACATGCAATTTTAGATAGAATAAGGGATGAAAATGATAAGATAGCTCCAGAAGGTCAATCCAAGGATCTGCAGGATTCATCTGCTCGAAGCAACGATGAGTGGGAAGGTGATGACCCTGACCATGAAGGCATCATTTATGTAAAGTAGTTTTGCGTAGATTCTCAGAGTTAGTATGAGTCTGAGATCAAGCATGGGTTTGCTTGTTCACAGGTTAGTCATTTACACATACAAGTTCAGATATAATGGCAAGAGCCTTATTTCATGTTTGTTAGCGGATACATATTTTCATTCCATCACGGTTACGGTCATGTCCTAGTCACTTTGTTAGTAGAAAGTAGGATTAGATCTGGGAATACTTCAGTATTTTCAAAGTAGCGACTATATGCATGAAAGTAAACTCCTATGTTCTTGGGATTGAGAAAGGTTATTGTTTGGGAAGGGAGAGAAAAATTGATGAGGCCTTATTTTTCAGAATGATGAAAAGACGCCTTATGTCAAAATCCCATTATACCATTCTTCCCTATCTCACCTCCCTGTTTTTGTTATCCACCCCTCCCCCATCTGCATAAACTCAGGAGCATAACGAGGATTCTGAGCTCACTTCTCTGTCTCGGTGGTATTCTAAAATGATATCAATGACATGAACTCCAAATGAGATGGACTCCTTCCTGCATGCTAGTGATATTTAAACGCGTTGGCAATCCTTTGGTGGTTTAATGCTTTGATAGCGTGCTTGCAGGGTCGAAGCTTATCATCATTTGATACTATGCCTTCCAACCTGCTTGCGAGATGCAGATTTATCAGAATTCACGTCATATTTGATCCATCCGCAATGGGCATGAAGAAATGTTAGAATAAAGATAGAAGCCAAAAAACTTTGTAAAATGCTCTCTCTCTCTCTCTCTCTCTCTCTCTCTCTCTCTCCCTCCCTCCCTCCCCAAATAGTTACTATCTAGAATCCCTGGAAATAGGTATAATTCATTCAACATCAGTAACATATGTTCCAAGTCTTTTAATGCTATGATAGGCCCCAAAAGGTTTGATTCATCACGGATTGACAAATATTCTTTTATTAACATTGTCAATATAATGAGAAAGCAGCCTTGCTACAGTTTGCTATTAAGTTTGACATTGTTGTGATGTGGGAGCTTTTTATACAGTGATTTTAACAAAATTTTAAACAATAAATGGTACAAATTTTGACACACCTTGGAATGTCAAGCTTGATGGACACAAAAAGTGTACTTTAATTCATGAGAAAATTGACTCAAAGGCACAAGGATAAAATGCTGATTGGTGTCATAATTCTCAACAAAATTGGAGTTACAAATAGAAAATTATGGTCCTGTGCACCAGGCCAGAAGGAAACGCCAATTTTTTTTTCATTTATTATTTCTATCAGACAAGAAAAACATCATAATTTACTTTTTCAATGATGAGTTTTGGCTTCAGCTTTCTTATGAGACTTGGCCTTAGCCTGTAAAAATGACAAAAAATGGTGACGGGTAAGTATGGTCTCCACCATAACATACAAATATCAGCACACAACTAGTTTATAAAGATACGTAAAGGGAAATGAAACTATCTTCAAATATTTGTCTTCAATCGCAAAATACAAGCCATATAAAATCAAATTGCGTTAATACTATTCTGTAAATGAAAAATGAACCAACATCTCTATCAACAGATGCAAACACAAAAAAGCATCATAGTTGTCTTCCTCAAACCAGGTAATGATACCGTAATGTGGGGCGAAGATGACTATTGAAAATAGAGATCCAGGCAAGAGGAATGAGCATTTAAACTTTTTTTTTCCCCCAAAATTTCTTCCGAAGAAAAGAAACAAATGAGAAGCAAAATGATTGAATACGGATTCCAACATCGACATGAAAATGGTCTAGTGAGTACCTTTTAAAAGAGTCTCTTTGCTTATGGAAGTTTAAAATTCTGAGATTGTTTCGTATGATATGAAGAAATAGTGAAACATTTTAAACATGTGCAGTTATTAGTTCATTTATTAAAAATTTTAAACATGTACGGATGTCACATGGCTAAGCATTTTGCAACATTGACAAAAATACATGTAATTATAATCAGAAAGCAACCAACATAATGCTTTGATATAAACGATACACTGTACATACTCATGAACACATTACAAATTGTATGATAAGGGTGTCAAATGACATTATTAGCACTATGCTCATATCTAGCTTTTGAGTCACTATACAATAGTGGTTTTGAAAATGCTTTTTCGAAACAGTTGCAGCATATTAAAAAATGTAGGGATCAAATAGTGACCAAAATATTAATATCAATACATAGCAATTAATTCATAAAAGTAATAACATGACACCAAAAGGAGGTTGTTGCCCCCTCTATGCTAGTTGGAATAAGCTCGTAGATTGAGTCTTGAAGATGAGGTTCTTCTGCAGTCCTCAAGTGGAGAGAAATTTCTATACTTATATTTATCAGGCTTATCAATAAGGTTAAAACAAAAACTATCCTATATGCAGAAGAGGTTAGAATTGAATACTAATTTACCCTGATTGATTTAGATTTTACTTACTAGCATTGCATATTATTCCTTGGTTATTTGAATTTGCATCACTTTTCTAATTGAGCCTTTGTGGCATTTTTTGACCATCTAATTGTAACTCACATCCCTCCCTTTACAAATAGGGTTTTAAAGGGTGAATTCTACCCCAAGGGGAATGTGAAGAAGTGGTTGATACACGTTTGGTAGTGATGCAGGATAGGATTGAACAAAAATGGGGAAGTTAAATTCTTGTTCATATAGTGTCCAATATTGTTGATCACGGCCTACCGAGAGCCTAGATTACCTTTGCAAATTACAAGCTGATTTATCTACTCCTGCTTAATTCAACCAAAAATAGAACAAATTTTCAAAATATTTAATTCTATTATCATTTCTAGACAGAATAATTCAACCCTTACAGGCTAGATCTACAAATCACCAACACCTTCCGTCCTAAGTAAACCTCAAAAACACCAATCAAAGATCTAGAATACAAAATCAAAAATCTCAAAACGCGAAAAACAATTTCATCTCCATTTCCCCAATAAAAAAATAAAAAAGTGAAAAAGGGAAAAAGAAATCAATCGAATTAGAACGAGAGAAATTACCTTAAGAATCTTAAGCTTCATGTTTCCGTAAACAAGTCCGAATGAAAAGGCGGACACCCGAGCCACCTGCAATAAATTGAACATTAAAAAATAATAATAATAATAATATATATATATATAAATGAGATACCAAAGCGAGGGTGCTGGTGCCAGAGTAGGGTCCAGGAGGAGGTGCCATGGTTGAGAGTTGACAGAAATGTTGAGAAAATCTCAGCCTTCAATTTGTTCTGCTAAAACCTCAGTGATCATTCTGTAGCCCTAATTTTATGTGTGTTTGGTTTGGGGTTCTGTTTGGGAGGAGGAATTGCATGATTAGTTCTTTACTTATAAATATATATCCTATTAGTCCTTTATTTTATGTCTTCTCACAATTTGGCACAGTTTCACTTTGGTCCATATATTTACTAAAAGTCTTTTTTTTCCCCCTTTATCAATTATAAAAAGGAATGGTCACTAAACTTAGGCCCATATTTCTTATTAGTCACTAAAGTTTAAAATGTTAAATTTTGATCACTGAACTTAGTTCTATGTGCTCAATTGCTCATCGAAATTTAAAATATCGAGTTTTGACAATTGAATTTTGAAAAATACAATACGTTACTCTCTAATATAGCTGCTAAATTTTGAAAAATATCGAGTTTCAGTGAGTAATGTGTAACTTTTTTCAAAATTTAGTAGTCAAAACTTAACATTTTAAACTTCAATGAATAATCGAAAACATAGACCTAAATTCAGTGATCAAAACTTGAGATTTTAAATTTTAGTAATCAATCAAAGACATAAACCTAAGTCTAATGATCATTCGAACAATTAACTCAGCACACATCAAAAAGTTGGCCTGTGCCACTTCACATTTTAACAAATACTTGAACAGAAACTATTGCTAGAAGCCTACAACAAATGGGGGTGGACAACATTTGGAGTCGAGATTAAGTTGCTACAAACTATACATATTAAGAACAAATACAAAAATGTCTTTTTTTTTTCTTTTTTTCTTTTTTTTTAGTTGGAGTAATCTAATTCTCGTTGTATATGGAAAATCAAGAGAGGGATTGCTAGCAAAGTCAAATGATTCTAAATTACTTGTTTCCCAAAAAAAAAAAAAAAAAATGAAGAGTGCATATATTTTAGGTATTTTTATATATACAAGGTGTCAATTAAGGTACATTTTGAAAATAAGGGTTGTGCTACTTGCACAGAACAAAGCCTATACAGGTCCACACACATGGGGTCCACCTCCCGTGTGAGATGCCCTGAGGACCTGTGCAGGAGCCCTTTTCCTTGAAAGAAAGGCTTCATTTGTACAAGCGTTTCAACGTTCACCTTATGTTTCCTAAAATCTACATCTTAATCATGTTCTCAACATTATTTTCTTTCTTGTCTTATATCACAATCATATAACAACCCCATTCCCTCCCGTCCTCTTATTTGAATTCAACACTTGGTGGTTTCTTGTCGCGTTTTTCGTGACAAATATAATGTTAAATATGACGATTGCATTTAATATTATATTTGTTGTTACGATTTTTTCACACTTTACTGGTGGTATTGTGGAGCTAATTTTGCCCAAATTTAACTTTGGTGGATTGTGATGCTGACTTGCTCAATATTCTTAGTGCATGAACATGACCTTTTTATGCCATGAGTTGTCCAACCGATATACACTTTGACATATTATGTTATTGTGTCTTGCATACAACTTATTATTTTTATACAAGAGCAATACATAAAATAATTGTTAAAATATCTCGTTTCAATTTTACGTATTAAATATATTATGAACGACACGTATCACTCCTACCTTCATGATAGGAGACTTTGGTCCATGTATATGTCATCTAGTTCCCTTGGCACCAAATAGTTGGGAGCTCATTGTCGTAGACAAAAGGCAACTAGTGACTTGAAAGAGGATGATTCTTATCTTTTATATTTATTGGTTGCAAGTGAGAAAGTGCACTAGAATCTCTCTATTGTCAACTATATATATTCCACTCCACACCCACCAACTATCAATGTACTTTTCTACGGTTCACTACTCCCCCGCCAAGTTATTACTTATTATTGTCATATATTCCGTATAAATAAAAATAAACTAATATGACTCGGGCTCTGTTTGTTATCCTTTAAAAAAATAAATTGTTTGTTACAGTAACATTTTCAATCGCACATTATCGAAAAATTACTATTCAAAACTCTATATTTTCTCCCAAAATGGGAGACAAACAAGCTCTCAATAATCATTAAAATAATGTCTTGTTTAATCATACAAGTCAAATGACGTTAAACAAGTAAAAACTAGTTATAATTTATCCACTATATTATTCATCATGCACACGAAAAATAACTTTTGTTGCATCGTTAATGTTTTAACTGTTTTAATAATAATAATAATAATGACTTAAGGATTAACTTGTTATTTGAGATAATAAAACTATAGAAAATTAATGCCTTAAATAGAAAAACGACAACTATCGGTAGTGAGCAAATATAAATAGCATTATTCTTTCAAAGTACTGAAATCGTAAACACTTGTGTACACTTGTAAGGAAACAATATCTAACATGCACTTGTCTAAAATGAATTTGATGTCAATGATGAGATTTGGGTCTATACATTAAGACCGTAATAACTAAAAGAGTTTGTTTGTGAAAGAAAAAGACCTTCATAACAAGAAGTACCGTACCAAAAGTTAAAAATATCAAATAAATTAATAATAATCATGAATATGTGATTAAAGTGAAGTTTAACTATTTCCCAAACATATTTACTAAAATAATTTAACGAGAATATCATTGAGCCGTGCTACTTGTACGGGAAAAATTTATCAAGCTTTATACAGGAGGCACTTGACATTTTTTCATTGAATTTGGTAAAAAATAAATGAATAAATACAATTGTACAGGCTCATCCAACACAACATGCATACATGTCCATCACATGAAAAAAAAGAAAAAAAAATTACTTCCAAGCTATTCTCAATTAAAATTTTAATGAATTTTATAGGATTATAAATTCTAATGAATTTTGTGAATTTGAATAGATTCTTAGAAATTCCATAAGAATCTGATTAAATATAGTGAAATTTCGAATATTTGCTTATATGTATTTTTAAGTTTGAAATTTATTCAAATCTTTTAAAATTCTTCTATTAATAAATTTTTTATAAATCCACTAATTATTGAAAATATCTATATTTTAAAGAATTTCATTAAAATCTAATAAAATTTCAATTAAAGACACCTAAATTTAAAATAATTTTTAAAACCTATCATAATTTCTATTGAGGACGGCCCATCGAATAAAACGTAATTTATTTGAAGCGCATAGACACTACGCAGTCTACGCCACAAGTAGCATTTAAAGGTACCAGAACTAAGCCTCGTACCTTGGCTATTCGTAGCTTTGACTTGGAGCCAAATTTTGCCCACTCTCCTCTTCCTCTCACCACATGGCGGCCACAGCCACCTCCACCCCCACCGTTAAGCCCCCAGTCTTCTTCAGTTCCACCACCAGACTCTGTTCTCTGTCCCCAACATCTCATGATTTCAACAAACTCCTATCCAATCTCCTAAAAACCATCCCAAAGCCCCTCCAAATAACCTACTCCAAGAACCCACTCTCAGACGTCATCAGAGAAACAACAAAAAATTCCGATAACAATTCCCTCAATTTCAATGATGATGACGATAAACCCCGCGAAGAGTGTGGAGTGGTTGGGATTTACGGTGACCCAGAGGCATCCCGGCTTTGCTATTTGGCCCTCCACGCGCTCCAGCATCGCGGTCAGGAGGGCGCCGGAATTGTCTCCGTTCACGATAACGTGCTTCAGTCGGTCACCGGCGTCGGACTTGTATCGGATGTTTTCAGTGAATCGAAAATGGATAAGTTGCCAGGGGATATGGCCATAGGACACGTAAGGTACTCCACTGCTGGATCATCTATGCTTAAAAATGTACAACCTTTCGTTGCGGCTTACAGGTTTGGTTCTGTGGGCGTTGCCCACAATGGGAATTTGGTGAATTACCAGGCGTTGAGGGCGGAATTGGAAGAAAATGGTTCAATTTTCAATACAAGTTCGGATACAGAAGTGGTTCTTCATTTGATTGCAATATCAAAGGCGAGGCCATTTTTATTGAGGATTGTTGAGGCTTGTGAGAAACTTGAAGGCGCTTATTCCATGGTGTTTTTGACAGAGGATAAGCTCGTTGCGGTTCGGGATCCTTTCGGTTTTAGGCCATTGGTTATGGGTAGGAGGAGCAATGGGGCTGTAGTTTTCGCTTCGGAAACTTGTGCATTGGATTTGATCGAGGCTACGTATGAGAGGGAGGTTTATCCGGGTGAGGTTCTTGTGGTGGATAAAGAAGGGGTCCAATCTCTTTGTTTGATGCCTCATCTTGAGCCTAAATCGTGTATTTTCGAGCATATATACTTTGCATTGCCGAATTCCATAGTTTTTGGGAGACCAGTGTATGAGTCGAGGCGTGCTTTTGGCGAAATCTTGGCCATGGAGTCTCCGGTGGATTGTGATGTTGTGATTGCTGTGCCTGATTCAGGAGTTGTGGCTGCATTAGGTTATGCTGCAAAAGCAGGGGTAGCATTTCAGCTAGGATTGATTAGGTCACACTATGTAGGGAGAACATTCATCGAGCCATCGCAGAAGATTAGGGATTTTGGAGTGAAGTTAAAGCTTTCTCCGGTGAGGGCTGTGTTGGAGGGAAAACGAGTGGTGGTGGTGGATGATTCGATTGTTAGGGGAACCACTGCGTCCAAGATTGTTAGATTGATAAAGGAAGCCGGAGCGAAGGAAGTCCATATGAGAATCGCAAGCCCTCCAATCATAGGTTCTTGTTACTATGGTGTGGATACGCCTAGTGCTGAGGAATTAATTTCGAGTAGGATGAGTGTGGAAGAGATCAGGGAGTTCATTGGCTCGGATTCGCTTGCTTTTCTGCGATTCGATAGCTTGAAGAATCTATTGGGCGATGATTCGCCAAACTTTTGTTATGCTTGCTTTTCCGGGAAGTATCCGATCGAGCCAAAGGGTAAAGTGAAAAGGGTTGGTGATTTTCTTGATGATGGATTGAGTGGTAGTTTGGAGTCTATAGATGGAGGATGGATTCAAGGAACTAGGGATCAAAAAGGTGTGGGGGATAGAACCCTAAATTGGAAAGAGGAAATCAATTCCTCCCAAGTAATTTGATGAAACAATGATTGGGGAATTGATCTTACTACAGTATATTGAAATCTATTGTTGAAAGTTAAGGTATGGGAGGCAAGTTGCAGCTCCTACAGCAGTTTTGGTTATGCATTCATGTATTTTCTTGTCTCTCTGGTTTTTTTGTAACAGTTGTACTACCTACACAGGCCATTTGTCTATGCAAATGAGCTTTTTTTCTTTTTGTAATGGTAAAACTGATCAAACATTGGGCTCTGTTTGTAACCTGCATTGTACATGTTCGCCAACTCTTGACGGGAATGGTATATCGTAGCTTGGTTTGGTGCATCTACAATATTATATTACTAGTCTGCGTCTCGTGCGTTGTACGAATTTTGTATTTATTTTAGTTTTATTAGCGTAGAATTTATAGATTGTACAAAAAGTATTTGGAAATAAGAAATGTTTGTTTGATTCTCATCTTTTGATCGACTGTATATTTTATGTCACGATAATTTATTTTTATTCTTATAAATAAGTATAATGAATGTTGTGATTGTATATATGTCGATGATAATTTATTTTGAATTATTTATTGTATTTTTTTGTTTAATATAGATGAAGATATTTTTTTTATTTGATATTGCAAATAAGTTGTAAATTGAATTTTGTAAAATGCTTTTCTTTAACAACTTCAATTCGAGAGGCTATACTTGTAGTTCAAAAATAACACATACAATTGTAAATTGAAAGAGAATATCCACATACAAAAATATTTAAATAGCAAACTCAGGTTCACACGTAAAATAACTTGAAGTGACACTTATTGGATGGCCAACTCCCTTGTTGGTGTAAGAATTAGAACCCCAATAGCAGGTCTATTCTTCGGACGATACAGCAGTCACTCCAAAGTTGGTAGGGCAAAAGAGTTTGAAAAAAAAAATTTAATAAATTTTATTCGAAAGAGAAAAGAATTAAAAAGAAATTTAAATAAACTGATAAAAGAAAAACCAATTATTTATAAAGTAAAATTTTCAATTTTAATTAAATAATATTTATATATTCTTCATTTAATTTTCATAACTTTATTTTATTTTTTACTTCTAAATAATTTTAAACGAATTTTTTTACTTATATAAGTAATTTTTACATATATTAGAAATATTTTTTGTTAATATGTTTATTTTTAAATTTTTTTTTTACTAAAAGTGATTTTTGAAAAATTAAGTTTTATTTGGAAGAGAAAATAATTAAAAAGAAAAAAATAATTGATTTTTTTTAAGAAGAAAACGCATTTGTTAACACATACGTTTAATTTCCATTTAACTATTTTCTACATTTATTTAGATCATTCGATATCTCTACGATATAGTTATCAAAATGAGTTTCGAGAGAATGTAAAACATTTATCAATTCGACTATCGTACAATCGTCGATGAATTTTTAAAGTTAGCTTGTTATTGAAAATTTTAAAATAGTAATAAAATAATTGATTTTTTTAAGAAAAAATAACTTATGCGTATTTTTTAACACATACGTTTAGTGTCCGTTTAACTATTTTTGATATCTATTTAGATCATTCGATATCTCTACGATATAGTTCTCAAAATGTGTTTCGAGATAATGTAAAGCATTTATCGATTCGACTATCGTACAATTGTCGATGAATTTTTAAATTTAGCTAGTTATCGAAAATTTCAAAATATAGTTTGAAAATGCCTATTTGGATGTCCCATAACATTTGCTATGATTGACCGTTTCACGCACCGTTAACGACGTGCCATACTATGTCGCGAGTACTTCAAAAAATATTAAGAATGTAATATTTCAACTTTGTTTGATATCCTGTAATGAACTTGAAAATGAACACAAAAATATAAGTAAAAATAAAAAAATAAAAAATCATTTCTTCTCGTGTGGTCTCCGTGCACTGAGACCTTGGTCTCCTTGCAAGGTCTCCGTGTAAGGAATCCTCTTTTTTTTTTCTTCTTTTTTAAATAAAAGCTAATATCTCTTTATACTATATAAACTAACTATAATGATATATATATATATATAATTTTTTTTAATTTTTAATTTTTTTACAACTTGAAGCAAACTTTTTATTATGTAAAGAAATATACTTAAAACTTTGAATTAATATTTAATCTAAAGTAATATTTAGAAAAATTTAATTTAAAAAATTGAATATTACTAAAAATATTACTATAAAATTAAATATTGTCTGAAATTATTATATATATCCAACTACGATGATAGCAACATTTATGATTTGTACAATCGTCGACGAATTTTTAAAGTTAGCTTATTATCGAAAATTTCGAAATAGTAATAAAATAATTGATTTTTTTAAGAAAAACGACTTATGCGTATTTTTTAACACATACGTTTAATGTCCGTTTAACTATTTTTTATTTTTTTTAAATATTTGTGTTGTTTACATTATAAAATTTTTTTTCAATTTAAAATTCTTTTCTCTTAATAATTCCAAACAGAAACTTAGATTTGAGAAAAAAAAATTGTGTAGTTTTACGTTATAAATAATAGTTTTTTCAATTTAGAATTCTTTTTAAATTTTTTCTTCAAATTTTTTTATTATTAATCAGTATTTTTTAATAGTTTGAAATAAAATTTAATTTTCTAGTAATAATTCAATAAATAAAATGATGAAAAAAAACATATTCACTCCGTGCATGGAGAAAAAAATTTCCGTCATACCACATAATTTTTTTGAGTAAAATGATGCATTGAGAAAATTGTAGCAAAAAAAAAGAATAAATAGTAATAAAATAATTGATTTTTTAAGAAAAATGACCTATACGCATTTTTAACGCATACGTTTAATCTTCGTTTAACTATTTTCGATATTTATTTAGATCATCTGATATCTCTACAATATAGTTCTCAAATGAGTTTCGAGAGAATGTAAAACATTTATCAATTCGACTATCGTACAATCGTCGACGAATTTTTAAAGTTAGCTTGGTATCGAAAATTTCAAAATAATAATAAAATAATTGATTTTTTTAATAAAAACGACTTATGCATATTTTTTAACACATACGTTTAATGTCCGTTAAACTATTTTCGATATCTATTTAGATCATTCGATATCTCTACGATATAGCTCTCAAAATGAGTTTCGAGATAATGTAAAATATTTATCGATTCGACTATCGTACAATCTTCGATAAATTTTTAAAGTTAACTTGTTATCGAAAATTTTAAAATATAGTTTGAAAATGCCTACTTTGATGTCCCAAAATATTTGCTACGATTGACCGTTTCACGCACCGTTAACGACGTACAATACTATACCGCGAGTACTTCAAAACGATATTAAGAATATAATATTTTGACTTCGTTTGATATCCCATAATGAGCCTGAAAATGAACACAAAAATATAAGTAAAAAAAAAAAA